AGAAAAACGAACTAAAAAATAAAAATAAAATAAAAGTGCTTTTGTAAACTAGCGCTTGCTATAAAATGCGCCGCCGCAGGCTATAGTCAGTAAACAAATATTCAAAACTCTCCACAGCGCTTGGCGTATTCGATGTCATTTCGTGTAGAGATGATAGATCACTGGGAGGAGCTTATGCACACTCGATGACCCCTGACGTCACAGGGCATTGTTTCGCCGGTGTGACTGGCAACAAAATACTACAAATTACGTCATAGGGTATTGTCACGTGTTTGAAAAGTTTGTGGTACTGTATTCTAAAGGTAGGCCGAAATCTGAACACACTTAAACGGTTATATCCTAAATGAAATGTTTTCGTGGCCTTGCAGGCATGGAGTCAGTGAGGACGCAGGGGAACGCCTATGATGACCTAGCAAGACTGATCTCATATCTGACGTCCCGTCACTCCTTCCGTCGAATCTTTTACGAGTGTTCATTGTGCTGTTTCGTTCAGGACCCTGGCGAACGGCAGAGATGTAAAGACATGTTCTGCAGCATTACGAACGCCCCATGTAATAGATAAAAGAAACTGGTTTCGAGACACTGTATATTACGAACTAAAAGGGGCGGCTAAATTCCGTTAATATAACCGAAGTTCGTTATAAACATGTAATGTAATTTGAAAACTAGACATATTAATCAAGGAATTCAAATGACTTTGCACGTGATCACAGCAAGCAGTTTTAATTGCAGGTGTACAACTGTGAACATAATGGATTTGTATGTAACGTCAAAGAGCACGGAGCTAGACAAGCTTACAACTTGTTGTTTGTTGTTTAACGCCGCACTCAGCATTACTCAAGCTATATGATGGCGGTCTGTAAATAATAGAGTCTGGACCAGTGATTGACATTATGAGCATCGATGAATCAACCAAGTCAGCGAGCCTGACCACACGATCCCGTTTGTCTCCTCTTACGGCAAGCATGGGTTGCTGAAGACCCGTTCTATCCCTGATATTCACGGGGCCTTACATGGTGTGAATGAGTTTCAACAGTATTTCAGTGCAACATGTGCCTAGGGAGAAGGCCTGGCGTGACGCAGGTTATATGACGTTGGCCACTTTGGGGGAACCCACGAGCAAAGGATTGGTTCTCATGGACTTAGGATTATCTGGCAGCTGGAACCCACGACTTGTTGCTCCTGGCAACTGACTACTATCAATTGAAGAAACTGTATATTCAATTAATGCACCATTAAAGTTGTATGTATTTTAATGTCTTTCTCCATTTTTAGCCAAACCACAGCGGCGGACACAAACATATCCTATACACATTATATTCACGAAGTGAATCGAACCCAGAATGTTTTCTGATTTATTTACAGATTGCTGTCATATAGCTGAAATATTGGTGAGTTCGGCGTTAAACAACAAACAAACAAACAAACAAACAAACAAACAAACTAACGTCTTCCTTGATATGTTATGATTAGTCCACCCTTCCAAGAACCAATTTATGGATTAAGCGTTTGTGTAAATATCCCTGGCCATTTCAACATTCCAAAGAGCCATGAACGGAAAATAACCTAGGACATTGCAGCCGTTGCAAGAATGAAGTCTTTCTGTTTCTCTGGACATGCTTAGAGTGGCAACTAAAACAGCTCAATGTAGCTTACAATTCCAAAGCACCGGAAGTGACGTAAGATTTTCACATACTTGAGACCTCGGTGACGTTGGAATTCTGCGCAGACGAATAATTTGAATCCATATACATATACAGTTATATAAAGAATCAGATGCAGATGCTGTCGATTTACCCCACAGTTGGCATGTGGCATGTGGCTAGCATGCAATGTGTTTCAGCAGGAAAAGTAACTTTCACTTATATTTTGAATCGAAAACAATAAATTGGTTAAAATAATGCTTGAAAAACAATTATGCGTCGGGGCATTGAGTGAGTGAGTATGGTTTTACTCCGCTTTTAGCAATATTCCAGCAATATCACGGCGGGGGACACCAGAAATGGGCTTCTAACATTGTACCCATGTCGGGAATCGAACCCGGGTCTTCGGCGTGGCGAGGGAACGCTTTAACCACTAGGCTACCCGACTGCCCCCCGGGCATTGGAAATAAATGGATTGTCTGCCAAAAAATACATTGTTGCAATGGGTGTGTTTTTTAATAAAAAAAATTAGGCTCATTCTTTAAACTAAAAATACAATCTGGTTTTGAAGATGTAGCCGAAAATATCCAGTCTTCATACCAAATCCCAACAACCAATAACTATTACATGCATGTAAAATGTTAATCTGAAGGTAAATAAAACACGCCAGAAAATGAGACATGTTGTTGATTTCATTGTAGGAGACTAAAGCTTTCATCGTTGTCAGTGAGTCAGTTTTGTTAAGCGTAGCTTTGAACACATCTTCCCGAGCCAAGTGAGATAACTGTAAAAGTCCAGTTTCCACCCTTGCCGAACTAGGCTGGAGTTGCTGGGATCGATCGTAGCGCCACCAGTGGTTATTACGAGTTATGTCCCTTCTGTGTCCCTCCTATTGACCAATCAGATTCCACATCTCATATCACTTGCATTTGCTTCAAACAAAATACGGGGCCCTATTAAGACGATCTGATCGAAAATCAAAATTAAGATTGTGATAAAACGGGTCTTACTTTGCGAAGTGCATCAATGTACGTGAGCACCTTGATTAAAAACCTGAAAAGATTCGGAAAAAATCTGTTGACGCCGCGTTGGTGGTACACATGTTTTGCAATCGACCGACATTTGCGAGGATGCTTACGAACAGGATGTTCATTTCGTAACACGATTTTGGTTAGACTATGCATAGACTCGTTAGTCTAGCCAAAATATAACACCCCAATTCCAACCAAGTTCGGCAAGGGTGGAAACTTGAAACTTTTAAAGTCAGTTAAAGTTAAAGTTGTATGTAATTTAATGTCTTTCTCCGTTTTTAGCCAAAATCACGGCGGCGGACACAAATATATCCTATACACATTCTATTCACGAAGTGAATCGAACCCAGATTTTTTTCTGATTTATTTACAGATCGCTGTCATATATTTGTGAGTTCGGCGTTAAACAACAAACAAACAAACAAACAAACAAACGTCTTCTTTGATATGTTATGATTAGTCCACCCTATCAAGAACCAATTTATGGATTAAGCGTTTGTGTAAATATCCCTGACCTTTTCAGAGCCATGAACGGAAAAAAACCTGGGACATTGCAGCCGTTGCAAGAATGAACGTCTTTCTGTTTCTCTGGACATGCTTAGAGTGGCAACTATAATAGTTCAATGTAGCTTACAATTCCAAAGCACCGGAAGTGACGTAAGATTTTCACATACTTGAGACCTCGGTGACGTTGGAATTCTGCGCAGACGAATAATTTGAATCCATATACATATACAGTTATAAAAGAATCAAATGCAGTTGCTGTCGATTCCAACCAAGTTCGGCAAGGGTGGAAACTTGAAACTTTTAAAGTTAGTTAATCCCCTTGCCTCGGGAAGATGCCGTGAACAGTATTAGTTATATCAGGTCGTGTCAGCTGAATCCCTTCTTACCACTTTACCCACGAGCACGGTTCCGGCTCTGTCAAACCTAGAAACATAACCGGATGATAGGATTCTGGTACGTGTAAGGGACACAACTCTGCACAGCGAATTTCTCCAGCTATTCCAATTGGGCGGTGATGCTGATCATCCTGCCTCTACGATGACACATTAGAGGTGAGTGAGTGAGTTGGGTTAACGCCGCTTTTATCAGTATTCCAGTTATATGACGGCGTGTCAGATTAATGTGGGAGGAAAGCCCGACGTGATGAAGGTCTCGGACGTTCACCACTTCGGTGAAACCCACGAGCACTGGTATGGTGCTGACAAACCTAGAAACATAATCGGGGCGAACCGGGATTCGAACCCACAATCATAGGTTTCTGACATGCCCAAGTCAGTAATTAACAGTCTAGTGAGTAGAGTGACCCGTTCATCGCCCTTGACGTATGTTGTGCCCTTAAACCTACAATGGTCTTAAGTCTACAATATTCATGAGTGGGCGTGGCTTGTGTATGCACGTGACACTATCTTCCTCAAAGCTGTTGATGTCTAACGAACGCATCGCTGTCTCGGCTGCCATTGCGCGATACAATGTTTCCCTCACAATCTCTACATCAGGTATATAACATGTAGTTTATGTGTCTTTGAATATTGTGCTGGACTATATTTGCGAGCCTCGACTTCGGACAGATCGAAAGTTCCGAGAATTACAGAGTCAACCCAACTCGCCTCACTCCGAAACATTCGGTGGTGTACATTAGCCCTGATCGAAACATTGACATGTCTTTGCTATTACTCGCGGATCCAACTCATTAAAAACCTCTTGTCATCATACTCCATACTTATGCAATTTACCTTTCTCTACTTGTTATATTCAAGAGCAAAGCAATCTCTGCGTGTGGCAAAAGTTGGTCAACTCCAAGATGCAACTATATATTTTTTATTTCCGAAACCCTGAAAAGATTCCAGGGAGTAGATTCACATGGTGTCCCAGAAAAAGAGTTATCATGCTTGTGATATAAATATATAAAATAAAATCCAAATGGTGCCTAGAACAATGTTTATTAATCAGGCCCATGGCTCAGGCAATTAGGACTTGCCAAATCATTCTAGACTTGAGTTGGCTCCCTTTCTCCATTTATTCTAATGTGTCTGAGAGACAGAGGTTCAGGAATGTGCAATCTTCTTTCTGGATAAAAATAACCATATGAACAGATTCTGAACAGAAAATGAAGTAAAAAGTATGAAATTCAATTCCATGTATTAAAGTGACACAACTTTAATCTCCAAACAAAAAATATATGATATGTTGCAAACACCCCTCCTGATCCCTTTGACCATGCAAAACCCCATCTAGACTGAACAATTTCATTCACTCTCTCTCCCATTTCAGAAAAAATGGGCGGCTTCCTCGACGCGTCAAGACAACAGCCAGTGAACACCTCAGAGGTTCTTCCAGCTTGCCAGGTGAGCTTCAAACAGCCCAAGGCACCCTAGGAAACTGGTCAAAAATCAAATCCACCTTCTTTTTCTCTCTGTCTTTTTTTAAAGAGCTTGTGTAGACTTAAGACTTTCAGCAGGTTTAAGGGCAGCTATAGGAGCCCTTAAACCTGCTGAAAGTCTTAAGTCTACAATGATGGGGTTGCCCCTCCCTGGACCCCCCAGGCAGTCATGGGCTGTTGCATAGGCCCCTCCTGATCCCTTTGACCATGCAAAACCCCATCTAGACTGAACAATTTCATTCACTCTCTCTCCCATTTCAGAAAAAATGGGCGGCTTCCTCGGCGCGTCAAGACAACAGCCAGTGTACACCTCAGAGGTTCTTCCAGCTTGCCAGGTGAGCTTCAAACAGCCCAAGGCACCCTAGGAAACTGGTCAAAAATCAAATCCACCTTCTTTTTCTCTTTTCCTTTTTTTAAGAGCTTGTTTAGACTTAAGACTTTCAGCAGGTTTAAGGGCAGCTATAGGAGCCCTTAAACCTGCTGAAAGTCTTAAGTCTACAATGATGTGGTGGCCCCTCCCTGGGCCCCCCAGGCAGTCATGGGCTGTTGCATAGGCCCCTCCTGATCCCTTTGACCATGCAAAACCCCATCTAGACTGAACAATTTCATTCACTCTCTCTCCCATTTCAGAAAAAATGGGCGGCTTCCTCGGCGCGTCAAGGCGACAGTCAGTGTGCACCTCAGAGGTTCTTCCAGCTTGCCAGGTGAGCTTCAAACAGCCCAAGGCACCCTAGGAAACTGGTCAAAAATCAAATCCACCTTCTTTTTCTCTCTGTCTTTTTTTAAAGAGCTTGTGTAGACTTAAGACTTTCAGCAGGTTTAAGGGCAGCTATAGGAGCCCTTAAACCTGCTGAAAGTCTTAAGTCTACAATGATGTGGTGGCCCCTCCCTGGACCCCCCAGGCAGTCATGGGCTGTTGCATAGGCCCCTCCTGATCCCTTTGACCATGCAAAACCCCATCTAGACTGAACAATTTCATTCACTCTCTCTCCCATTTCAGAAAAAATGGGCGGCTTCCTCGGCGCGTCAAGGCGAAAGTCAGTGTGCACCTCAGAGGTTCTTCCAGCTTGCCAGGTGAGCTTCAAACAGCCCAAGGCACCCTAGGAAACTGGTCAAAAATCAAATCCACCTTCTTTTTCTCTCTGTCTTTTTTTAAAGAGCTTGTGTAGACTTAAGACTTTCAGCAGGTTTAAGGGCAGCTATAGGAGCCCTTAAACCTGCTGAAAGTCTTAAGTCTACAATGATGGGGTTGCCCCTCCCTGGACCCCCCAGGCAGTCATGGGCTGTTGCATAGGCCCCTCCTGATCCCTTTGACCATGCAAAACCCCATCTAGACTGAACAATTTCATTCACTCTCTCTCCCATTTCAGAAAAAATGGGCGGCTTCCTCGGCGCGTCAAGGCGAAAGTCAGTGTGCACCTCAGAGGTTCTTCCAGCTTGCCAGGTGAGCTTCAAACAGCCCAAGGCACCCTAGGAAACTGGTCAAAAATCAAATCCACCTTCTTTTTCTCTCTGTCTTTTTTTAAAGAGCTTGTGTAGACTTAAGACTTTCAGCAGGTTTAAGGGCAGCTATAGGAGCCCTTAAACCTGCTGAAAGTCTTAAGTCTACAATGATGTGGTGGCCCCTCCCTGGACCCCCCAGGCAGTCATGGGCTGTTGCATAGGCCCCTCCTGATCCCTTTGACCATGCAAAACCCCATCTAGACTGAACAATTTCATTCACTCTCTCTCCCATTTCAGAAAAAATGGGCGGCTTCCTCGGCGCGTCAAGGCGACAGTCAGTGTGCACCTCAGAGGTTCTTCCAGCTTGCCAGGTGAGCTTCAAACAGCCCAAGGCACCCTAGGAAACTGGTCAAAAATCAAATCCACCTTCTTTTTCTCTCTGTCATTTTTTAAAGAGCTTGTGTAGACTTAAGACTTTCAGCAGGTTTAAGGGCAGCTATAGGAGCCCTTAAACCTGCTGAAAGTCTTAAGTCTACAATGATGGGGTGGCCCCTCCCTGGACCCCCCAGGCAGTCATGGGCTGTTGCATAGGCCCCTCCTGATCCCTTTGACCATGCAAAACCCCATCTAGACTGAACAATTTCATTCACTCTCTCTCCCATTTCAGAAAAAATGGGCGGCTTCCTCGGCGCGTCAAGGCGAAAGTCAGTGTGCACCTCAGAGGTTCTTCCAGCTTGCCAGGTGAGCTTCAAACAGCCCAAGGCACCCTAGGAAACTGGTCAAAAATCAAATCCACCTTCTTTTTCTCTCTGTCTTTTTTTAAAGAGCTTGTGTAGACTTAAGACTTTCAACAGGTTTAAGGGCAGCTATAGGAGCCCTTAAACCTGCTGAAAGTCTTAAGTCTACAATGATGTGGTGGCCCCTCCCTGGACCCCCCAGGCAGTCATGGGCTGTTGCATAGGCCCCTCCTGATCCCTTTGACCATGCAAAACCCCATCTAGACTGAACAATTTCATTCACTCTCTCTCCCATTTCAGAAAAAATGGGCGGCTTCCTCGACGCGTCAAGGCGAAAGTCAGTGTGCACCTCAGAGGTTCTTCCAGCTTGCCAGGTGGGCTTCAAACAGCCCAAGGCACCCTAGGAAACTGGTCAAAAATCAAATCCACCTTCTTTTTCTCTCTGTCTTTTTTTAAAGAGCTTGTGTAGACTTAAGACTTTCAGCAGGTTTAAGGGCAGCTATAGGAGCCCTTAAACCTGCTGAAAGTCTTAAAGGGAAAGTGTACACGCAAAAGTTACTTTCTTTCTTTTTCTAAACAAAACGCAATTTTAGAATTAGTTAGTATCTGTGTTTGAAAATATACACTCATTTTTTCACAGTGAAAGTAGGAAGCTCACAATAGTGTGAAAATGATATGCTGTTATGAGGCCTTCGTTTTTCGAGCTAAACAGGCCTGAGTTATCCCCCTTAGATTATGACGTAATTGGTGCCAATTCAACTGGGTCCCTGTCTATTTTCAACGCAAAAGATATCAAGTACCAGTTTGCGGTAAAACAACATGGCCTACGACACAATCCGGCGCAGTGGTGACTCAGCATAACACTATGCTGGCTGGCATCTGAGAGGCTAGAATCACACAACTGTACCTACACCACGTGAAGCGGCTCTAACAAAGCATGATGACGTCATAATGTTTATCAATTGGCACCAATGACGTCATATTGCAAGGGGCATAAGCCATGGTGTTTTTGTTGTGGAAATAGAACACTTGGTAAATGTGAAAAATATAAATCGTTTTAATGCGAAAAATATGTTAATTAATTGTGATATTTTTATATTTTTGTCTTTGACACCTCTAGGTTAACACTTTTAATGTGGAAAAAGTACAAGAAAAATAGGTTCATTTCCGTGTGAACTTGCCCTTTAAGTCTACAATGATGGGGTGGCCCCTCCCTGGACCCCCCAGGCAGTCATGGGCTGTTGCATAGGCCCCTCCTGATCCCTTTGACCATGCAAAACCCCATCTAGACTGAACAATTTCATTCACTCTCTCTCCCATTTCAGAAAAAATGGGCGGCTTCCTCGGCGCGTCAAGGCGACAGTCAGTGTGCACCTCAGAGGTTCTTCCAGCTTGCCAGGTGAGCTTCAAACAGCCCAAGGCACCCTAGGAAACTGGTCAAAAATCAAATCCACCTTCTTTTTCTCTCTGTCTTTTTTTAAAGAGCTTGTGTAGACTTAAGACTTTCAGCAGGTTTAAGGGCAGCTATAGGAGCCCTTAAACCTGCTGAAAGTCTTAAGTCTACAATGATGGGGTGGCCCCTCCCTGGACCCCCCAGGCAGTCATGGGCTGTTGCATAGGCCCCTCCTGATCCCTTTGACCATGCAAAACCCCATCTAGACTGAACAATTTCATTCACTCTCTCTCCCATTTCAGAAAAAATGGGCGGCTTCCTCGGCGCGTCAAGGCGAAAGTCAGTGTGCACCTCAGAGGTTCTTCCAGCTTGCCAGGTGAGCCCAAGGCACCCTAGGAAACTGGTCAAAAATCAAATCCACCTTCTTTTTCTCTCTGTCTTTTTTTAAAGAGCTTGTGTAGACTTAAGACTTTCAGCAGGTTTAAGGGCAGCTATAGGAGCCCTAAAAGTTTAAATGTTTGTTATTTCTGTGTTTGATTATGGATTTACTGCAGACTGAATGGATATTGAACGCAATTGTCCTTGTGCCTTATAATGGTTCAGGTTAAACTATACTTTATTAAACTATATATGAGGATAGAGCAACCTTTATATCTGAAAGACATGCTCCATTTGCTTTATCTGCGTGGTTGAACCTTGGCTCTATTAATATCAAAGTTGGCAGTGTAGCAGAGGATGACATCAACCACATGGATGGATCCCCTACTCTTTTACAATCCATCCACTGGTTTAGATAGAGGGGGGTTCAATTCTCTTGTGTATGATGTTTCTTTGTCCCAATTTCTCCGACAGATTGATTTTTTTATTAATTGTGCATGTACATCTTTTATGCTTGTAGTCTGGTGAAAATTTTTGCAGAGTATTACACCCAGAGTGAGCCACCTTATCGCAAGCACAGAGTCAGCGATCTAACCCACTGAGTCTTCCACAAAATCTTCCCCCCACCCTATCATTACCTGTATTTGTCAGTGGAGGTATTATTAGATCTTACCCTGATTGTAGGAAGAAATGTTACAGGAAAGAAAGTTACAGAAATAAAGTTACATGACCAGCATAGCCTGCTTGATACCCAACCTGGAATACCTGTTTCCTGTGCTATTATGTTCTGTCAGTATTGGGTGAAAACACATTGTGTAGTAGTATGCTAAGTGTCTGCACCAAGAATAACTTCCTAGTAGAGAACTTAATTGTGAGGCAGTTAACATTAAGTATAACATTACATGCTAATTACTCACTCAGAACTAGAAATTATGAAATAACTTTTTCATGTTAATTATTGTGGAAAGTATCTTTTTATCTTTACATGAATATATTATGCCTTATTTCGTGTGGTTTCTCTAAATTCTTATATTCAAAACTACAGGGTAAATGTAGAAATAGAAATAAACTTTAAATTTGAAAAATAAATAAATGCCATTATAAATGCATTTGTGAATATGACACATGAAAAAGTTACTTCCTTTTCACTATTTACCAATTTTGTCAAATCCTGACAGACTTGGTTCAAATATATTTAGATTTAAAAATGTCATTGCATGCCATTGCAGAATATTGTAGAAAATCATAAGGACTGGTAATTTATATATTTATTGGGGGGTGATCATGAAGAAATTACACAGCAAATAAAGGATGGGGTTTGGGAGGGGCGTTTTAATGACAACATGTAGGGGGTCACCAAAATTTATCACAAGTATATTTGGGGGAGTGGGTACGTACAACATAAATGACATGGTTCTGTATTATTTTGAATAAAAAGGTTAAATATTTCATTTGTTATATGTTATAAATGTCCATGAAAATGCAATCTGTATATATTGGGGACATAATAAATGCACATAAAATGCGTGTGTGTGTGGTTGGGGGGGTGGGGGTGGGGGGTGGGGGGAGGGTCTCATCTAAATATGGTCCTAACCAGGTTGATAATTAAGGTCCTCTACCTCCTTCTCACACAGATACCTGTATATTTCCACCCCTTTATGTTTGTATGGTGCTCTCACATGGGGGCAATGTGTTCTTTCGTTCAATACACAACATGCTTTTGATCTAATTAATACAGAGAGCTGGCATGTTGGTGTATGTAGGATGCAATATTATGCAATCCTCAGGACCATGGTTTATGGTCACTGATCTGGTACTGTTCATTCCTCGTTTCTGTCAATCATGATGAATTAGCCAATGAAAACACTTGTTTCATTGAAAAGGCCAATGACCATCGCTTCCTGAAGTTAGTAGCTAAGAATATAAGATTGTTGTATGTGGTTGTTTATGGAATGTGAATGACTTTTCAACTGTGCCAGGTACTAGTCTGTATCAACAATCCATGTGTGTAACATTGAATCATATCTCCTTGTTATATTTCTCTGTTGGATTGGCGCTACAATAATCTGTCCTGATGACAGTTAAACATTGCAGGTTAGTAATATCATTGCTTTAGGCACATACGCTTCAGCATATCTTTAATGATTGACATATCTCTGGTAATTAGCAGTGATAATTGCCATGTGTGATACTTCCTCATATCAAATAATTCTTGTTTTGGTAATAATACATATTTTGAAAGTCTTAAAGAGAAGACCTCCAAACCTGAGTATTTGCAGCACCATATTCATGGGATAGAAATAAAATGCGGTTTCGCAATTTGGACCTGTATTCTTCATTTGTTAAAGAAATATAAAAGTATCATATTTTCCAATGTTTCAAATTGTTTCTATTTGAAGGATTTGTAGAACAATTTAGGGGGTCACATTATGTAGAGAAATAATTGTCTTTTATTGTAAAAAATTAGTAATGAAAATGAAACTGTTCAAATACTAGTCCAAATTTCTTTTCGATATGATCTGTGGATTAAGGGGTTCTTTACTTTTTATTGTTGTATCCAGCAAGTGATATTATTTGATTGATAACGGTGTTAGAACCTACACTGAAACGTCGCTCTTAATTGTAAGAAAGAAGTTGTTCATCCAAAAATTCTTAACCTTGCTCCTATACAGTTTATATATTTTATGCATGTCATTATGTCATAAGAGTCAGTATTACACTAACAGTCAATATGTAGTCACACATAGTTATATAATAATGGATAGCAGGGGTAAAGTAAACAACTGCATCATTTCTAGTTTGATATAACTTATCTTGGTACATCAAGATTGTATTAAGTTTACTGAACAGAGTGTTTACTATTTATAAATGAACAGTTTTTAAAAACAAATATTCATAAGACTGAAAATGCAATCTGTATATATTGGGGACATAATAAATGCACATAAAGTGGGGGGGAGGGGCTCATCTAAATATGGTCCTAACCTCAATCCCATTATAAATTACCCATACCTAAGGTTGATAATTAAGGTCCTCTACCTCCTTCTCACACAGATACCTGTATATTTCCACCCCTTTATGTTTGTATGGTGCTCTCACATGGGGGCAATGTGTTCTTTCATTCAATACACAACATGCTTTTGATCTCATTAATACAGAGAGCTGGCAGATTGTAAAAACCAATATTCATAAGACTTGTATACTTCATACTGATATTTCCACACTGAAGAGAGGTACTGCCAGAGACTATGGCAGGATGGGGACCCAGCAACTGATAAATGGTGATCACATTACAAATGTTCTCCCTGGGTCTGGGCAAAAAACACAAAGCACACATATTCAACAATTGTCAACAATTTAGGAAAACTAGTTTCATGTAGTATCATTTGTTTGCAGATGAGATTCCTGAATATCTGTCAGAATGTCAGATGATTTGAGGAAACAGACAGAGTCCAGTACATACCAACCAATGGCAAGAGTAAGTACCAACACTATGAATTCATACAATGATATGTATATGTTACTTTTTTTAACTCTTTGTTTAGATCAAAGTTAATTTGATTAGGTACTTATGTTTACAAGTTCTACTTACATTAGATATCTAATGTTTTGGTCATTATTGTAAAAATTTGTAGGTCCAGAATAAAATATATTCCTTTCTATTTTGTAAGGCCTTGTAATGATTACTGTCAGTACATCATTTACTTCAGTTCCCACCGGTTTGTTTGTTCAATATTATTAGAACTGACATGCATTGTAACTAAAACAAGTAATGCAAAGTGCATGGTGGAACCAGGCCTTTATTTCTTAGTCTGAAGAAAAGTGATAACTTAATTGTTTCATGTAACTACTTCGTACACAGCAATATTTAAAATTCGGCAATAGCTGAACTATTGTGTCATGATGACATCTTGATATGTTTGTTAAGAATGGTATAATTAGTTTGTTCAATAATCATTAGAACAGAACAGGTGCTCATACATCTCATGTTCATCTATTTTTCTGAAGTAATATTGCTTAGCCTTTGTATGATGTGGTGATAACTTCATGGTGTGACAATCTGTCCATTATACCATACTGTGAGTATGTATACCCAAATAAAGACACAAACTAAAGAGGAATCTTAGAAGATAATCATTAGCTCACCCTGGGGTTAGGCTGTGTGTCTGCTACTGATCTATATAACACATTCTGCATGTAATTAGCTACAAACCACATGGACATTTCCCCACACAGACAGTTCCCAACACTGACATTTCCCTACTCAGACATTTCCCTACATGACAATCTGTTCTTGTATATTGAGGGTCCTTCTACTTCTACAACATATGCTAAATAACTTGTTAATTTTTATGATTTTCCCATTACCATGAGCCTATGATGTGTACTTTTTATAGTGAGCATGACATTCCATTACAGTTCTGTATACCGTAATCTAGTGTTTTAAGTATGAATACTTGACACTAAAATAGGGGCCATTTCTGCAAGTAGGTAACATTTTGAAAAGTTCTTTTCCAAGATGTGATTATGGGAAGGTTTTCCTTTCTTTCTTTACAATCATTAGGATAACCTGGTATTCTGAAAAACTGAAATAATGCATAGAATTAAGGGTTACGTGTTTACATTGCCTGATTGTCTTTGGCTTTATTTACCATATATATTACAATATGAACACATTTCAGTGAATCTTGTGATTTGAAAGGCTGATATGGCAGTCATTATGAAAACAGTTACTCTATATGCAGTTTATTTTAAGACTATGCACCATGTACCACATTCACAATCAATAAGAAAGAAATAGTTCTGAGTGTCTGTTTATTTGAATTTTCCTTGAATCCTAGAAATATGATTGTGGAAAATAGATTGTTAGTCGTCATTCTTTTGTCAGCATCAGCAACCAAATATGAGGACATGTTGAAGAACGTTATCACAAAATTTCAATGAACACTCGAGTACTTATTGGGAATTACAGTATGTGTTTTGAACAAATCATGTACTATTTCTCTTCTCTGGCTCAGCCTAACATGTGACATGTACATTGCCCAATGAGGGTGAGTTTCTGTATCTTTGGTAATGTGTTTTTGTAGGATGACTAATGCACATAGTCAATAAACTTAGTAATATGAAAGAAAAGCCTGGTAAAAATGATTATGGACATCATGTATGACATACAGTTGAACATGATGTTATAGGTTTGCTTTTAATGCATTTCAGGTAAAATGTTCAAGAAAAAGAAGTATTGGTGTGATTTCAAAGGAGAATTACGACTGCCTTAGATTAAAACTTGAAGGAGGTGACATTCCCAAGGATAGCAAGACTGTCAAGTTCTACCATGTCTGCCAGAAAATACGGAAGTTCAATTTATCTTTGACAGAAATTCACAACCCTGTCCAAGGAGAATATAGATTGGAGATTATTGATGGGGACAGGAAAATAGTGATATCAAAGTCAGAACTTGATAATGTCATCTGCAAATTTTACACTGAGTTGCGGGGTTCTGGAGCAAAGAAAATAAGAACATTGATAAACCAGTATTATGCTGGCATTTCTCAGGAAGCCATACAAGACTTTATAGACAGGCAAGATGACAGGCAACTGTTACATCCTAAATTTGTTAATGCTGCCAAACTAAAACCGGTGATTTCAAGAACACCAATGGGGCGACATCAGGTTGACCTTGTGGAACTAACTGGAATGCCTGCAGAAAATGATGGTGAAAGGTGGGTGACAAATTTCAATCAAAACATGCACACTATAAACGTTGAGGTAATAGATGTAGATACTTAATAGTAAGAACATTAATGTTAATGTTATTTGGAACATGTCATCTTTAGGGCAGAGCCACACTTGCATGTGTGTGACAGATGACACCGGTGGGGCAGGATACACTAACCTTCGTGAACACCTGCTACTATCACTATTTTATGTTGATTCATAACACATGCTTATGATATTGATGGAATCATTCAGTGGACCCAGCTTTTAGAAGAGGCTTCTTATGATTATGGAAACTGTTTTTGTTATATATTTCATATATTTCATATACGTGGTATAACACTTGTGCACACTTTTTGTGCCTGCCTAATCTGTTTACTATTTAGATGTTAATTTATTTCAGAGTGAACGATCACACCGGGATTGGAAAAGCCATCTGGAATTTGATCACAGCAAACATGGTGATGGAGAAAACTTCAACTGGGTGGAAAAGTTGCCAGCATATGCTAGAATACACAATGAAAGCATTCATTCTGCACTTGGTAAAGTTTGAATATATAGCTTTAATTTAATGTGGGCATATGTCACAAAGTGTGAAGCACATAATGTAAGCATATACTTTTCAGACTGTAAGCATGGTAAATGTGGATGTGTGACATTGAATTTATTTTACGCACTGACCAACAAATAACCATTATGACACAGTTAAATGATGATGGCTCATTACAGAAGGTACAACAGTTTCATAGTTGACCAGGTATTGACCAAAATATAGTTGCATGCACCCTTCAGGCTACTGCAAATTTATAGAACTCTGGAAATATCAATATTGCCACAGTGCAGTTGTGACATTTATTGTTGAAGAAGACATGAGAAACACAGGCTTGTATTTAAACATAATTCCTATGTTAACAGGTTGTTCACCATACAAGGCCATGCTGGGCTGCCCTCCAGTACACTTCAAGAATTTGTTGAGAGCTGGGAATACAGTTGATGCATACTCTTGCTCTGAAGAAGATGAGCAGTGCACACTATCTGCAGAGAGTGATGAGGTATGGAGGATTTATGTCATTACGCATAACAAGAGACAAACTCATCTATATACCCCGCCCATTGTCTAGTTTTAAATACAATGATATGTGCAATCAAATGTGACATTGTAAATTATCAGTTTGTCTCACCTCCTTGTAGAAGAGGTTGAATACAAGAGCTAATATAACATCTCCATAAACTTTGTACATCTGCCTTAGTAAAACTTTAATGATAAACAAAGGTTATAATCATCTTCAAGTTTGTGTAAGCTAAGAATATTTAGATATCATGCATGGTATTGTAGAGCATTGTTTTCAGGCAGGTATTGTTGCAGCCCTTTATAGGTACATGTAGTTACCAGAGTAAGGTACACGGTACAGATAAGGTACAAAAGTTGTAAGCATGCTGACACCTCAAAACCTGGTGAATTTCTAATACATCTACAATTAATGCTTTTATGGATTTTGTTGCAGTGTCTACTGGTGTGTCATTTAATTAGAATAAGAAAATAAATAATATTTTGAAGTTTTTTAAAGAAAAAAGACTCTATAATAGCCATAGACTGATATTGTACAAAGTTTCATGAAGATATCTTGAACAGTTTTCGGGTTCTGCTCTGGTAAACCCCACTGCTTCCATTCAGTTCAGAGACTAAGTCAAAATTTCAAAACTTTGTACAAAATAAAAAGACAAATTTGTAGGTGCAGGGGATAATAACTGTCATCGGGTCCTGTAAACCTGTGCAATAATGACAGGAGATGTGACAAGTAGAGACATGTACATAGAACTATTTCAATTGCAAGATATTAGAAGTAATGATATGTTTAGAATATGAGGTAAAACTACATGTGAAGTGGAAGTGATATTATTTGACGTTTATGTTAGATATGTGGATATAAAAACATGGTAAATGTAATACTTTATTATTCTTTAGGATACTGGAGACGAATATGGCATTAATGAGAAAATAGAAGCAATCACAAACCTCAGGAAAAATGTGCTGCAGGCGTCACTGACCAAATCATCAGAAATGATTAAAAAACACCACGAAAACAAGGACACATCAGTGTACAAGATAGGGGATGAAGTTCTGGTGAGGGTTCATGGAAAAGATACCAGAGTCAAACGAGGTGGGCCCAAAAAAGGGATGAAAAAATGCAAGGAAGGAACTATTGTCGAAATAGATTCCCAGAACTCCCAATTCAAGGTTGCCTATCCGAACAAGCATGTGCAGTGGGAGCAGGTGTGTGACATTACTTCTCGGACAAGAAAAGAAGAGAAGAGGAGAAGAATGAGGACATATGAAGGTACATATTTCCAGTAGTAGTTTATGAATATTATGTAATTAGCAAGTATGTTTAATAATTTATTTTAAATAAAATAGTTCTTACAGAATAGATGACATTATCTATCTTGGTGGACTGCAAAGACATGATGTTTGTAATGTATTTGCTGTTTTTATCATTTCCTCCACCCAAAGTAAGTGCAGTTGGAGATACAGAAACGAGATCAGTGTGTCCATCTGTCACATTTTGTATCAAGAGCATTCAATATTTCCTCATGGACCCTCACAATTGGTGCCTTTTCCCATGCTGGAATGTTTATAATATTTCATTTGCATTTTCATGGCAACAAGTTGGTTCAAATGAGGGTTGGGTTTGTTTCCAGAGCACAATTCATAAACCATTGCGTATTTCTTCATGAAACTTTATATACACATCAGGCAGGTTCTGTTATTCTGCTATTCAGTTTCTTCGGTAGACTTTTATATTTTGCATTTCTAAGAAAATACCAAGTTGGACAGCTAATTAGAACAGTTATCAAAGATGATACAACTCATGTTGCTACTGCAGGTTGAAAAAGGTTTCCAGCAATACATGCTTGAGGTGACTAATTTGACCAGGTGATCGGGTAACTTGGTTTATTCTATGACATGGTACCCAGACAGTGTGGATGTTGCTAATACTGCAGTGTTAATTAAAAGAGAAGGAACAACATCCTATTTAAAATCAGGAACATACATTAATTAATGTTTTTGCTGTTGTGGAATTATGGTTCAGAATTTTGAAAGTATTATATGGATCATAGCAAATGTAATTACATGCCATTACTAATTCACGACTTTGCAAGGTATTGAAATAATTTGGTGTAGTCATTAATTGTTATGTCATTTGTACTAAAATCTTAGGATTAATGTGGTATATGATACTTCCTGTGATATTATACATTACTTACAAGGGACATTCATTGGTTTGTCTTCTTGGAACGAAAGCTAACATTGACGCAGGAGGTTAGGTGGTATACAAAACACAACTGATCAAGCGTCTGGAATCAAACTGCAGTCAATGGTTGAAGCATTTGATGATTTTCAGTTCAGTTCAGTTCCTTAACCAGTTAAATTGGTTGCTCTGTGATATGTTGGTATGTGCAGAAGAAGGCATAAATGTGATAATTTTCATATATTTTTCTAACAGATTTTCGGCCAGATGCAAGAGAAGAGGGTAGAAAGGCACTCAAAAGGGGAAAAACACAGGATGAAAAAGGTATTACAATTTGAGACACCTCATAGGAATCTTCTGGAACGGTTAGTCTCCAAAACATTAGGCATATGCATGAATACTTGCATGCATGCATGCACAATAAGAAGGGTAATCAATACTTGTACAAATTTTCCACCTTTCAGAGTACATTTACACATATTGAACACTTCAACGGAATAAATGTTTTCAAAATAAAATGAATGCAAAGCATTTCTTTATCCTGAAGGTATATGCTTGCACTTGGTGATGTATGTTTGTACTTTTAAGGAAAGGGAGAACAACAGGCTCAAACCAAGAGGAGAGACAATGCAGAAACAAAAGGTAATATCTGAATACAGATGGGTACGATCAACAGGACTGATCAATCCTAGATGCATTATTATATCTGTTGGAAGGAGTACACAAATTCTCCATATGATGTTGTGTCAGTTGCTCATATGTCTTCCTGTATATCATGCACATCTGAAATGGTTCATTGTCTCAGCTGAAAAATACTACATCAGTACATGTATTGCAGAACATTACAGTTGTTTCAATAAAAAAAATATACTAAGAGATATATTACAGGTCAATTTGTGTTACTTATATAATGTGTCTAAGCAGGACGCAAGAAGACGCCAACTATGAAAGAACTGGAGATGGAGGCCTCATTCTATGACCTTGACGTTGTGGACAATGAAGGGGCTGGTAACTGCATGTTTATTGCATTGGCTCAACAGCTTCAAATACATGACATTGACATAATCAGCCATAAACATCTGCGAGAAAAGGTTGTGTAATATGTGCAGGTAAGTAAACAATAATGCATACTTTCAATTTTCTTAGGGTAGGAATTTGATATAGTGAATAAAATGTGAAAGCCTAATTGGGCTGAAGCCATGTCCTATTTGTTTGGAATCATGTTATTCTTAGAAATCAGTGGACCAGCTGAAAATTTGGCATGCAAGTTTGTTCAGATTATTACGCCTCAATGGATTTAAAAAGTTCATATTTGTTATCATTATGAACATTGATATGCAGTAAAAATGTTTTTTACAATAACGGCAGTACATTTGATTTGGTGAATTTCAATTTTTATCCAGTAATGAATTCCACATATCTTTTTTTGTGTTACTGAAATTTTGGCTTACAGGACGAAACCTCAAAGCTTATGAAGCAAAGGTTTGCCTGAATAGTATTAGTTTTTATTGTCTCTGAAAAGTACTCACATATTTTGGATCTTATGTTAAATATGTCAATGACAATTTGCTCTCAACCTTTCCATCAAATATATTTTCATTAATTCCTCTTACGTTATGTGAGCTAGAGAGTCATGGGGCTCTATTGGTGATGCCCTTGACATTGATTAAACTTCTTTATTTAAAACAAGATAAACGAATGGTTGTCCCAATGAAGGAAACATCCCTCAGGTCAGCCTGTTTAGTAGGGTATATTACTTTCAAATGTTTTGGATATATTATGAGACACCTCTTAATATTGAGAATTTAAGTTTCAAAATTGCATGTCAGTTGTCAGATAAGGTGTGTAAAATAAGCTGAATATTCACTTTTATCTGCCACATATGTACATGTACAGTTCTAATAGGTTTCATACTTCCGCAGCTCATTTATATTACATTATAATATTTGTTTTACTTTTGACCTCATAAAGTGTTATCAGGACCTTAAAAGGCATTTAAAAAATGTGATGGCTGAAATTTTGTACAGAAAGGCTGTATACACATTTCTAAATGAGCAAGTCTAAAATTATTATGCAAAGTGGCTCTTTTAGGTTACAGTATAAACCACTGACTTTATATTCAGTTGGGCTGTATGAATAATTTCTGATACTTTATGTTTACCCCAATAAATAGGTTCAAGTAAATTTTGAAAGGCATATAGATTGGGATGAGGTAAAATGGGACTAAACTTTGCATTTAAGGTAAATGCACTTATACAGCAAGCCAGTGAAAACTGTTTTTTTCATTAGCTCATCTTGAATTTTCACTTTTTCCAATTTTGGGCAAACATAAAAACACTTGACCAAATTCATGGAACCTGATGAATTGCACAATTTCAATTCATTATCTATGCATGTTGCATTTAACATAAAGATGCAAGTACCAGTACTTCCCCATGGGGGTCATGCAAAATGGTATCTTCTGACAATGTGAGGTTTGTCACTTGTAGAGATTTTGTACCATTTTAGCTTTGAACTTAGATGACTATACAACACAACATTGAGTCATGTTTTTTGTTGTTTTGTTTTTTTTCATTTTATGTGTATTACATGTAGTATAAGAAGAAAGAAGAACAGTAACATTTCTCACTCTCACACTAACTGAACATGTTTTAGGGCAAGCGGCGTCTGTTCAAGGACTTCGTGGATAAAAACCATTATCCAACATTCAGAGACTATATCATCAAGATGAAGATGTTGGGGGAATGGGGAGACAACATCATTCTGCAGGCAACAGCTGACCTCTATAAGGTGACCATCAGGATCATTACAACAATTGCAAATGAGCCTACATTCATTCGTCCAGCTGAATACCGAGGAGACATGCCAGTACTAAGCATAGGCCACTTGTGGGAGCTGCATTATGTGACACTCATACCAATGTCCACAGAAGGAGGTTTGTCCTTTATTGATGGTACAGTTAAAATAATTATGGCAGGTCACCATGTCAAAGCATTCAGAACTTATGTAGGTTTTTGCAATATATACCTATAACATTACATATTACTCAAAACAGTTGACTCTTCACGCTGAAACAAAGCCCAATAATGCCTAGCATTGTGCAAGTGCCAGCATGTGCATGTTCTTTAAGTTAAGAACTAAATTACACTTTTATCGTCACATTGAGACCGTGGCATGTACCTATTATCAGATATAAATTTATGACATCTCTGACCACAGAGATATCAGTATATTACTATATTGGTACTGAACATTTCATATATTCACAGACTCATTGGAAATTAAGGATAGAGAGCTAATATAAGCATACTTCTGACATTAACCATTTCATACTTATCATACACAGAAAAAACATTCTTGTGTTCATTCATATGCTTGTTACTTGTACAAGGATTACGCATACTGGTTCCACATTTCACATACAATCATGTTTCATTTTAAGAGAAAGAGACGGAAGCAGCTAATGACACCAAAATGGACACAGAAGATGAATCAGATTCAGATTCAAAGTATCCAATCAACACTGCTGTATGGGAACACAAGGCATGTCCAAACCCAATGCAACACCTGCAACAAGACATTTCCTTATTATTGTGTCAGTTGCTTAATGATAGATCCATTAATGTTTTCAGTATGAAATATTAACCAAAGATGATTTCAGATGTACTTTTGTTTTAATAAAAAGAATTCTAAAAATTATATCTGAGTAAACAGTACTCTTGTATTACCTTCATAAATGTTTTTGCCATGGTGCCTTCATATTTCACAATACATTATTTGAAAGTTTAGCTTAACAATTGTAAGAGGCACATGTCAGTTGCTGCCATTAGATACCTGATAAGAAGGTATTATTCACTCTCAGTAAGATGTTTTCTTAAACTTGTGTTAATGATGTTTCTCTTTACTAAAATTTATACAGAAAGAAAATGTAGTGGCACACCTGCAGAGAATTGCTGCAAGAGATGCACCGTGACTTTTGTTGGCAGATAACTTGGAATGACTTTCAATCCAGATATAGTAATAACTGGGTTTTTATTCCAGTTGCTTCTCATAGTGTTTGATTTACTCCTAACCTGTGTTTGTGGGTTTTACCAAAACGAAACAAGCTAAAACAATGAATTATTGAAGTACCAATAAAACACGAAGCACTAATTGAAGTCCTGAATGGATACTGTGTTAGAACTAGTCCCTAGCAACCTATGCTTGTCACACCAGGAGACTTAATGGATACTGTGTTAGAACTAGTCCCTAGCAACCTATGCTTGTCACACCAGGAGACTTAATGGATACTGTGTTAGAACTAGTCACTAGCAACCTATGCTTGTCACACCAGAGACTCAATGGATACTGTGTTAGAACTAGTCCCTAGCAACCTATGCTTGTCACACCAGGAGACTTAATGGATACTGTGTTAGAACTAGTCCCTCGCAACCTATGCTTGTCACACCAGGAGACTTAATGGATACTGTGTTAGAACTAGTCCCCAGCAACCTATGCTTGTCACACCAGAGACTCAATGGATCAGGTGGTAAATCTCTGTGACCCTGGATGAATTTATGACATCATACATTATGACTGTGATAACTTTGCTCATAATATCAAAACACTATTTGGTCTTGTTGAGACACAATATAGTATGGATATTGCTGAGCGGGGCACTGAACAACAAACACTCATTTTAGATATGTTTTTCAGTGAGGAACAACTTCAAAGGCATGATGAGTTTGTCAGCGGCTTCCCAACACCAGACCGAAGAGTCAATTTTGCAGAGGGATATCTGTCTCAATATGTATGTACCTTCTCAAATGTGACAGTTGCCTCATATATTATTTTTAACAAACATCCTTCCAATCATTGCTCATGAAAACGTTACATGAAAATTTGTGAGCTATTTCAATGCAAGACCATGCTTTAAGGATTGTGTACATGATAACTTACAGCCCTGTCATTTGGGACTCCTTATAGGATCTGGTGGAATAGGAGAGCTAATGTTGTCTTTGGGGATATTCTCATGTATATATATTCTGGCAGCTTATTGATTCCTACAATCGATACCACCTCAATTTCAAAGGAATATCAGTCAAGCTGTCCATTCTTTTGATATATAAAAATGGGTTCAATCTGTCATTGTATTCTGTTGAGAACAGAGCACAGATTATTGAACAAATACCCACCTGAAGGTTTTTGGTTACACCTACTGACAAAGCATTACTACTTCCATCACCAAATGAGACTTGGTAAACTACAATAACATGAAATTTCATGTAGGTAAGAAGATACTATGTCAATGCATTGAGATAACCTGTCAGATAGTTTTAAGAGTGAATAATTCATTATAGGTACTTTAGTACATTCAGGTTTGGAAACTGTGGCATAATAAGAATTGTTTTCCTATGAATAACACTGTAGACATAGAAGGAAGTAATCAACCAGTGTGAGAGCATGGAAGTCATACTGCATACTGCATTAAGTATATGTTTTGTCTGACTTCTAGTAACGTCTGTACCATTTTTATTTAGATAATTTAGTTCATGCAATTACTAGGTTAATTGGAATTGGACCTTCTTGTTGGATCTGTTCCTGTAGTAGCCATGTGCTCAGGTCCTTGCCCATCTGTTTCTTTATGCATATGAATCAGAACTTCTGCTCGGATTGGTAAAATAAAAAACACAGGAATTCAGTCAAGAATTTTGACTTTAGATTCCTGTATATCAATGATCTGAAATTGTTCAATAATGTAAGTAGCCATTCCCTTCCACTGAACTGGAAATAAAAGAGACTAGTACATCTGTTTTATATTTTGGTCTATGCATAAAGATTCAGAGTGACAGTAAAGTATACACAAGACTAGAACAAATAGGATGACGTCAACTTTCTAGTACTCAACTATGCTTTTATGTCTGACAATTTTCAAACAGCTACAGCCTTTTAAGGTACAATTGAGCGTGCTCTTTCTACAAAGTTTTTCAAAGAGTGCCATACAACTCTTGCTTCAAACTTGTTTGATCAAGGCTACAATATTCAAGGCCTCAGCAAGCTTTCAAAACATTTCATGGTAGACATGTGGAAGCCATTTCCAACTTTAATGCATTAATGACCAAAATGATGTCCCATGCAATTCCTTTTTTTGACTTGTACCATATGTTCCCATATTTATTTAGGTGTCACGAGTCTTGCCTTTGCATGTGTTTGTGATTGGTGTCATAAGTGGGAAATGACACCCTCACCTTTCTTTGAACACCCTGTATTGACAGTTGTTCATAAAAACATGCTTGTGATATGGTGAAACTCGTAAAAAAGACTTCCCTTTAAGCAGAAATTTCACATGATAATAGAAAGGGATTTGTTGATTATTGTTTTTTATGTTTATGAAAATGTTTTTTCCACTTTTATTCCCACACACAGTATTTTTATCTGAAAGTGCATGGTGGTAAGTCATGAGGAAATTGTGGTGCCCCTGTTGTCACAAGTACAATTTAAACACGTTCCAAATTAACTTGTGCTTTTAACTAAAACGAAATGTTATTAGTGTTGCTATATCTGCTTATATTTGCTTAACTACTTACTTCATTACATAACAAGACGTGTATTCCCTATATATTTTGCATACTTTTATTATTGTTTCAGATGCAGCAAAAAATGCTTCAGTACTTGATATCAGCTTTGACATTAACAAGACTGAAAGATACACGGTATTAAATATTAATATTTTATGACACTTTGTGAAACAGGTTGTTTCAAATAATTCCTGATAACATACATTATATTTAAGTTTTGAGGTTATACCAGAGGAATGAGACAGATACCATGATTGGCTTAATGTTACATTTATTTGCATTTACTAAAAATGTATTGTAGGATTGGCTTTCGTTTTTATTCATGGAATGTCATGTAAATTTCTGATGAAGTACTCTACACATGACACATATTGCCATCAAATAAGCAACAATGCAGGCAGTTAACTGCCAAACACACTGACATATAGACACTTCCATTTGACATGTAATAAACCAAGTCATCGAACCTGACCATCAGATAAATTAGGTTAGCATATGTTGGTATGGACCTATGTCGTGGGTTCGACCCTCAGCCACGTCATACCAAAAGACGATAAAAGGTTGTACTTGTTCCTACCCTGTCTGGTGCTCGACAATAAGGGGCTAAAACAAGTACTAGTTGGGTCGGAGTCAGCAAACTGTATTAAAGGTTACACAATTTGCGTTAGCAATCTTTTAACGTCTTTTGGTATGACGCAGCCGGAGATCAAACCCTAATGTTCCTGCTCTCAGGGAAGACAATCTTCCTATAGTCCATGGAGGTGATCAGCTATGTATGTATGTATGTATGTATGTATGTATGTATGTATGTATGTATGTATGTATGTATGTATGTATGTATGTATGTATGTATGTATGTATGTATGTATGTATGTATGTATGTATGTATGTATGTATGTATGTATGTATGTATGTATGTATGTATGTATGTATGTATGTATGTATGTATGTATGTATGTATGTATGTATGTATGTATGTATGTATGTATGTATGTATGTATGTATGTATGTATGTATGTATGTATGTATGTATGTATGTATGTATGTATGTATGTATGTATGTATGTATGTATGTATGTATGTATGTATGTATGTATGTATGTATGTATGTATGTATGTATGTATGTATGTATGTATGTATGTATGTATGTATGTATGTATGTATGTATGTATGTATGTATGTATGTATGTATGTATGTATGTATGTATGTATGTATGTATGTATGTATGTATGTATGTATGTATGTATGTATGTATGTATGTATGTATGTATGTATGTATGTATGTATGTATGTATGTATGTATGTATGTATGTATAAGAACAACAAAAGTAATAAGATAACAAAGGTGGTAACTTAACAAGGGAAGCCAACTGATAATTGGTGCTGATAGGTGATTACCAAAGAAAAAATGGAAGCCAACACTTAACAGTAAATTGGCACTGACAGGTAAAAGAATAGAATGTTGCTCATGGGGTACACAGTTCCAGTGACTGTCATGTTCAAATAACAAAAGTCAGTATGAGATGGTCAAATATTTTTGCCTGTCATTGTACCCAGTTAATGTCATGGACTGGTTATCTGTCATCTGAGTAAACATCTTCTCCTTCGGGGTAGTAGGGCAGCCTACTGGTTAAGCATTCACTCATCAAGCTGAAGACCCGGATTCGATTCCCCACATGGGTACAATGTGCGAAGCCCCTTTCTGATGTCTCTCTTCTCCTCAGAAACCACATAAATAATGACACTGAAACATCACATACTTGTTCCAATGACGTCACATGTGTTAACCAAATATTTCAGTAAGGCTGCAATTTCTGGATATATTCATTGCGTTTTCTTTAAATAGTTCTATGACAATGAATAAATGACAATGCTTACAACAAATCCTGTTAGATGACTGGCTTTGTTGATATTTCAAACTGTTGCCTACATGTGTTGATGTCTTTGTGAGCTACGGTGCTTAGTCAATTGTTTTTACATAAACATATGTTTTTTCACACTTCAGAGCTGCCACAGATTACCTGATGTATGTTGGGGTAAAGGAAGCTATAATTCATATTCTGATGGATGTGCTGAATAAACCCTATGAAGAAGTCAACTATGAATGTAAATCAACAGAATTTGATGCCAGTCAAGTTCCAGGGAGGGGTGTCCACATCACTGTGGATGACGAATAATGATGGCTTGGTTCACACAGGGAGGATTAAAATGCCACTGTTATACAGGATGACTGACTTGCTGGATGTGTTGTGATGATTGTGCTTGCACACTGATATCAACACCCACATATATTATCTTTACAAGAAAAGTAATTTGATGTACATGAACCACAGTGACATGTCATTTTGTAACATTAGTATTTCTTTGTATGACAATGTGTGAATTTACTAGGGCTGCAACGGGTAACTCGGGTACCTGGGTCAGGTGGGTACTGAGTAGGACCCGGGTACCCACAGGACTGCCTGGACCCATGGTTAGTCATGTGATATATTGTTTAATGACAAAAATTATCTCGAACTCTATGCTTACACTAAAAGTCACTCATGTTCGCATTTCTTTCTGACTATGCACCCATTCCTTCTGACTTAGGCTCTTCTTTTGGCCACTGATAGTAATGAATGCTATGGGTCAATATTTCTAATTTTAAGAGATTTTTGACTATATTATCACTCATGTCCCCTCGACCAGAAATGGGATAACGCCTATAAACTCGACAAATAATGGAATCTGAAGATTTTCTTTTAGCTACTGATAGTAAATACCATTTCAAACCTGTCAGCAAAGCCTGAATGCTATGGGTCAATATTTCTAATTTAAAGAGATTTTTGACTATATTATTACTCATGTCCCCTCGAACAGAAATGGGATAACGCCTATAAACTCGACATATAATGGAATCTTAAGATTTTGCTTTGACTACTGATAGTAAATACCATTTCTAACTTGAGAGCAGAAAATGAATGCTATGGGTCAATATTTCTAATTTTAAGAGATTTTTGACTATATTATTACTCATGTCCCCTCGACCAGAAATGGGATAACGCCTATAAACTTGACATATAATGGAATCTTAAGATTTTGTTTTGACTACTGATAGTAAATCACATTTCTAACTTGAGAGCAGAATATGAATGCTATGGGTCAATATTTCTAATTTTAAGAGATTTTTGATTATATTATCACTCATTTCGCCTCGACCAGAAATGGGATAACGCCTATAAACTTGACATATAATGGAATCTTAAGATTTTCTTTTGGCTACTGATAGTAAATACCATTTCTAACTCGAGAGCAGAATATGAATCATATGGGTCAATATTTCTAATTTTAAGAGATTTTTGACTATATTATTACTCATGTCCCCTCGACAAGAAATGGGATAACGCCTATAAACTCGACAAATAATGGAATCTTTAGATTTTCTTTTGGCTAATGATAGTAAATAACATTTTAAACCTGTCAGCAAAGCCTGAATGCTATGGGTCAATATTTCTAATTTTAAGTAATTTTTGATTATATTATCACTCATTTCGCCTCGACCAGAAATGGGATAACGCCTATAAACTTGACATATAAAGGAATCTTAAGATTTTGTTTTGAGTACTGATAGTAAATCAAATTTCTAACTTGAGAGCAGAATATGAATGCTATGGGTCAATATTTCTAATTTTAAGAGATTTTTGATTATATTATCACTCATTTCGCCTCGACCAGAAATGGGATAACGCCTATAAACTTGACATATAAAGGAATCTTAAGATTTTGTTTTGAGTACTGATAGTAAATCAAATTTCTAACTTGAGAGCAGAATATGAATGCTATGGGTCAATATTTCTAATTTTAAGAGATTTTTGATTATATTATCACTCATTTCGCCTCGACCAGAAATGGGATAACGCCTATAAACTTGACATATAAAGGAATCTTAAGATTTTGTTTTGAGTACTGATAGTAAATCAAATTTCTAACTTGAGAGCAGAATATGAATGCTATGGGTCAATATTTCTAATTTTAAGAGATTTTTGATTATATTATCACTCATTTCGCCTCGACCAGAAATGGGATAACGCCTATAAACTTGACATATAATGGAATCTTAAGTTTTTCTTTTGGCTACTGATAGTAAATACCATTTCTAACTTGAGAGCAGAATATGAATGCTATGGGTCAATATTTCTAATTTTAAGAGATTTTTGACTATATTATCACTCATGTCCCCTCGACCAGAAATGGGATAACGCCTATAAACTTGACATATAATGGAATCTTAAGATTTTGTTTTGACTACTGATATTTAATCACATTTCTAACTTGAGAGCAGAATATGAATGCTATGGGTCAATATTTCTAATTTTAAGAGATTTTTGACTATATTATCACTCATTTCGCCTCGACCAGAAATGGGATAACGCCTTTTAACTTGACATATAATGGAATCTTAAGATTTTCTTTTGGCTACTGATAGTAAATCACATTTCTAACTTGAGAGCAGAATATGAATGCTATGGGTCAATATTTCTAATTTTAAGAGATTTTTTACTATACTATTACTCATGTCCCCTCGACCAGAAATGGGATAACACCTATAAACTTGACATATAATGGAATCTTAAGATTTTGTTTTGGCTACTGATAGTAAATAACATTTCTAACTTGTGAGCAGAATTTATAACAAAATTTATCTAGAACTCTATGGTTACACTACATGTCACTAATGTTCGAATTTCTTTTCATATGGTTGAATAAAGATATATAACTTAAGTCACCTTCAGTGTATGCATGACCAGATTGTTTAATTCATGTATCTAAATACGTTTTGCATGTACTGTGGTAAAAAAAATCACAATCGGACATTTTGTATCTCTTGAGACCTTACAGGTCAGATAATAGTGGGGTGGGGCCCCGAGTAGTAAATTTGGACTCGTCCCAGCTCTAAAATTTATGTACAATTATTTGAGAGAGATGGTTTGATATTTGTGTATATTGGATGTTGCCATGTCATGACCATTGGAATAATAAAGTGATGCCACATTTCTAGTCTGTCTGAGTTCTGCTCATGACAGTAGATCATGAAGACTGCACCAACTCTATGCATGTCTGCCAAGGGAAGTGTGGGAAACTGTGGCTTTCTGCCACAACTCAGAAAGTTGTTGATGTGTAATTGTTATATATGCACAGAATGTCTGATGTGTGACATTATGCTGTACATTTTCATATTGTTATGTGTCAGTTTAATAATAATGTAATAATAATGTCTCACATTTTTACATATTTTGTTTCTTTGGACCATTTTCTGAAACGATTTCTTACTGGTAAATAACATGGACACTTAATACGAACATGGAAGGTAATACAAGTGGTTGTATGAAAGTAACTATTAAACCACTACACAAAGATTAATTATTTGGGGGATTATTCTTCACAGGAGTTTTTCAAAATGTTCCTGGGGAGTTGTTTTGGTAAAATGTCCATGACACAAGACAAACACAATTGTGGTTACGCTTTGCAAGTAGGGGGTATTCATGCATTTATCAAAATTGTATATGCCTTCTTTATTATGTGTACTTGCTTTGTTTAGGCTTTGGTCAAAATTATTAAAGGTTAAGGTCTGTGTTCTGATATTTGCAAAACACATTTTAATTATTGTATGAGGCATGGTTTTCTCTGTAGACATGAAACTATATATGTACATTCTTACAAATACTGCCACATTAAATGTTAGTGCTATATATGTCAATGTTCAAGGTGACATTTGAGGTTATTGGGACACATGGTTGTATTAACTGTATTACTTGTGTAATGCAGAGACTGGGTTATATTTGGACGAAGAAATTGTGATGCTTTGGACTTGAAATACATGGTAGTTTTTTTAAGACATTTTGAGTAAATGGAAATGTTTCTGATTTTGCAAGTATTTTTAAACATTTGCTAGTTACATTGGTTTGCATTCTAGAAACATTTAATTCCCATGAAAATGACGTGTATAATGGTCTTTGTCATATTTATGTAACCTCCAGGTTTATGTTCATTTAATGTTAAGGAGCCAATGGCTATCATTATTCATCTGGCATTTCTTGTGTGTTAGATTATTTTGCTGACTTATTTCAACAGCCATAAAAATATATTTGTGTCTACCAAATTAAGCGCTTGAATACCACATATGATGATATTTAACATAATAATCATTTAGTCTACCTTGTTACAATATGGTTTAGAACAGGACCCCAGCAATCTATTCTTGTGATAACAGGCGACTAAATAGACCTGGTTGTTAGATTTGGTGACTTTATTGATTGTGTGTCATCGTACCCCGATGGTGTGGATCGTTGCTCATAATAAGGAATGACTGATTTGTCTGGTCTGAATTTGCATACAGGTGGCTGAATACAGCATTAAACAAGAGTGAAAAAAGTATAAAAAATATATGATCATGTAGTTTGCATATGTTGTTGTTAGCTAACAATTTCTTATATGTTTGTTTGTTTGTTTCTTATGTGCCTCAGATTTGTCATCAATAATATACATAGGTTGTTTTGTATTTTTGTAATAAAACATCTTCAATGGACTTCATTTCTTTTGTCATGTGAAGTGAATACACCAACAACTAACCCCAGGAGGTGATGGATGTTTACAATCTGACTTCTCACACAATGTCAACCTTGACAAATGTACCTTGAACAGCTTATCTATGTTCAGCTACATACACTTCTTTCTTGTATTAAGTTATCATTGCATGAATGTCCAATCGTGTGTCACAAACTAAAAGCCAATGTGAAGCTTACACCATCTCTAATTACACAAACATTATTTAGTTCCTACGTAGGAGTATCCTCTTCTTTCTTCAGATTTGAACACACAATTTAACAGCAGACAAAATGCATGTATAATTTGATGTAAAGAAGGTGTTCTATTCATGGTAATACATGTGCTTCACATCCTATGTATAGATGTGAGTGTTAAACTAATAATATACACAGATGTAGGGCACAGGTCCTGCTGACTGGTATGTGACTTCACCCCACCCACATGCAAATGTGTACACTTGGTGCCCTCTACAGTGATGTGACTGGCATTATGCTTATAGCAGCATTAAAACAAACTACCTCACTGCTGCCACACTTTACTTTGTTTATGTTTTCACGGGATGTCCCAAACACTTACATATACTAATGATGTCTTATAAGCCATCTGAGACATTTGTACTGTTTAATTTGCCTAACCTGTACAATGGGTAGCCTGTTACATTTGCACAAGTCTCGAAGGCAAAACGTATTAGTTTTAAATAATAATTTCTAGATTATGTAAAGAGTAAGAACATTTTGACGTTGGATTCATCTAGACTTGCCCACAATGAGTATAGAATTACAAGGAGCCATATACTAGT